TGATCGGTTGATAGCTCTGCGCCTCTCTTAACGCGAACATCCATTACTGAGCGTCTTAAGTCAGACGATATGATTATCAAATCGATCATCGATTGTGTGCCAAAGCTTCACTGTACCAGCTATACTGATGCACTCACTTCGACGTTCGAAGGTGTTCACAATAGACAATTCGCTGTTTGCACAAAACCGCAACAACTTCATGCCGTTATTGTGGTGGTCGCTAGGTCCGTTCTTTCCAACTACGCCATTCCACTTTTCAGCGTCTACTCCGACATGCGCATTAAATTCGATCATGAGTATGAGGGACACTATATTAGGCACTTCGTACTGAGCACACTCCACCTCCTGAAGGAACAAATCATATCATCCGTCGAAACTGGGCATACTGACCTGTAACAAGGTCAATGCTTTAGCCTGTTGTAGCTTCATTCGAAGGATTGCCACCCTTCCGCTGATAGGGTTTCAATCAATGATTCTATCAGCGAGGTTGGATTCTACCAGAACACCAACACCGGCTTGAAAGCGTGTCATGATATCGACTCCTGAGTAGAATAGGTTGCACTCGCAGGAGCTCAGAATTCTAGAGCCTTGGCGTTCTGTTGACGAGAGTCCAACTATGTGGAGTTTATACCTTATGGCATCATCAACTAAATTTTGCTCTTTCCCTCTGAGTGAGGATACATTTCAATTTCCGACTTTAAGGTCGAACTGGAGATGTCGTTATCGTGGAGCCTTTTCTGACGTGAAAAAATATCATCGCATTGTCTGCCTCCTTCGTTCAGAAAGGGTAGCGACTCCATTGTAGACCAGTACCTTCGTCATCGTTGAGTCGATCTTCGTCAGCCGTTGTTGTGCCGCCACGTCCCCGACTGGCAAAGAGTCATGAGCAGGTTTTGATCGCCGACTTTTCGCAGTCTGCCTCAGTCCGCCAACAGTCTACGCGGCCCTTGGTCACTAGGGCGACAACCGAGCTGGTATAATTTTCGATGATATCAATACTATGCAGAGCAGGCGAAATCCTACGGAGACTTCGCTACGGTCCCCAACCCTCCTCCTTTCTGCACAGGGCTTTGGACTGGCAACGGCGGAGTTTAGTTTCGTTTTTATCAGGGTTGAAAATGAGATTCTTTGGTAATTGCATTCAAGCAGTAAAATATTTTTTATATATCACATGTTTACCCTATAACGCTGCGTGAAATGAGCAGACCTGAGCATAATAATAGTTCAAAATAACGCGTCTAAGATGATTCTACAATCTTGTTACTCAAGCTACATAGCTCTGACAGTCGATGCCATCATGTGCTGTAGACAACTGGTTACAATACAACTTTGACTGACGCTAACAATAGTACTAACCAGTAAGCCGTTTTCACGATCCTGGTATTCGCATCAAGCAATGCCTTTAACTCGCCTCCGCTTATTTTCTTACCTATATATGTAAAACAATTACGAAGTCACTACTTCTTTACCAAAACTGTAATAACCATGTTCGTCTATTTCACTGTAGGTAAATGCGTGAGCCAGTGCTACCAGAAGCGATTGTTCAGCAAGGCCAATTCGTAGCTTTCCTCCCAAGCAACGCATCAAGTACCGCGCTTCACAGCTGCGGCAAGAAACCAGCAAGCCTTTGACCAAATTCAACTTTTTAACCATCGACTAAACATTTCAGATGTATGAAACGAGCCGTGGCAAGGACGAGTGACCAGCGTACG